TGAACGTATTTTAAAGAGGAAGTCATTTTTCCAAAATAACAAGATTAGGACAAGGCATTATGCTCTCAGGATATAGTCAAATCCTATTGACTGCTTTCAAACTAGTCTAAGTGAGGCATATATCTGTGCGTTTTTGAAAACTTTTGACCTCCTCAGCTCAAAGTGCAAGGACTAACTGGGTGTGTGTCACACCAAAAATGAAAAAGAAAAAAAACCCTGACATTAAGCAACCAGGATATGAAAGTCTTTATCAAGATCGAAAGAGGCATCAGACACAACCTTGAAGCAACAAGACAATGAAGCAAAGCGGGTCACTGAGGCAGGAAATGGTGGAACATGAAGAAAAAAAACTCTTTCACTCCAACCACTCAAAACACACACACCGGGCTTCAAAAAACCACCGACCTCATGACAGAAGAGCAGAACTTCCTGAGCCCACACAAACAAGCCACCACAGATTGCTCACAGAAAAGACACTGCGACATGCTATTCATTAACGAGATTCTCGTGTTCAGCATTGAGCCGGTTGAATCTTTTTAGCCTTGTGAGGCTGGTTTGAGCATCTGTGGAACTTCAGGGACCTTCAAGCGTGGTGGAGAAACGACTTCAGCTACAGGACGAGGGGGACTCCCGTCACGCTGAGCACCCACCCACCCAGCCGGGCTCTTATCAGTCAGCAGGGGCTCAGCTGCACCGTGAGATTAGACCCGGGAAAACCCAGACTTCAGCGATCTTCACAGTAAATACATCTGAACCGCTCATCAGGACTCCTTCATACTCTAAGAGCCGGAAATTGCATTCGTCATAAACCTGTTGGCTTCCCTTCCAAAGGAGCATGTCTAAACAGATGCCCCTCACCCACACCCTCTCTGTGTTTGTCTTTGACTTGACAGTGGAGGATGATCCTGTCTGAGGTGATGTTTGAGTAAGCCTTTCACTCGTTCTACAGTCTATACCTTGTGCCACGCAGTCAATCCCTTCCTAAACATCTAAGGTAAATAACCCCAAAAACCTGAGGTGCATAAATTAAGTTTGAGCTTGTTTCTCTAAACTGGTTCAGATATTTTCCAGTAACAGATGCTGAAAAAGCAAACACATTTGGCCCCACTCTGTAACGCCATTATCTAGACATAGTTTACATACGAGGTGTTTTGTGGTCTTCCCGGTGCCACGGAAATGAAAAAACAACCATGCAGGCGTCCACTCGCTGACACATTTCTGCAGAGTGCCTGAATAAGCTGGACATTCATGTCCAACACAAAACATTTAAACTTCACGTTCGGCTCGCTGTGTTTTTTTTAACGCCTCACGCCAGACGGCTCAATGGGAATTCGGCAGAGCGTATCCTCGCAGCCGGCACGCGTCTATAGAAACCTTTCACCAGGAGCAGCAGGGTAATGTGCTCAGCGGCACGTGGCTCATTAATTAGTCAGAGGACGCACACAACTCCTGCGTTTCATGCCCGGGCTGCAGCCACACGCCCTTATTCTTTCCAACAAGTGTGGCCATGCAAAGGCAGATAAAACTAAAGTCCCAGTCTGTCACACGCTGCTTGTTAAGATGGTGAATAAACAATCCAATTTCGAAAAAACTATATGTTATACTTCACTGCTTTTTCATTTGTGATTCTACAAGGGGAGTCTCAAGTTGAACCAAGTCCAAATGGTAAATATCCACATTAAACTGAGCTTTAGGCATAATTCACAGCAACGTTTATGGTCTTTAGTGTATGGAAACCATGCGCAAACAAGGTATAAAAATCTGTTTCGGTAAGCTTAAAAATGTCATGCTCTTCACCTACTGCTACACTTCAGATGTTTTAATGCTAAAACATCCAACAACAAACGTCGAATGACATCATTTCTGTGATCGTCAACATTTTAAAAGCAGATTTTCTTCTGTATGGGTAGTAAAGTACTCAGATTTTATCACACAGTTATTGCAAACGTCTTTTCTACTGTTCAGTCAGGCTCATGTTACTCTTTATTTATTATCAGGAATACCAGCCCATGTTTACTTGGATCGGATTGATCCCATAATTCAAAATATCACCCAAAATATCACCCAACCCTGTTTCTTGCTCATGTTCCATACAGATGATGTCACAGGACCTCTTTTGAAACGTAGAACCATCTAAACTGAGTGGGAAGGTGAGCAGAGCTGTGTGGGGCAGAGTAGGTACTAATGGAAAAGCCCATTGAGGGCATGACATTCTAAAGTGTCAGAAAGGACTTTTCAGTCAAGCTTGAGTTCAGATGTCCAAGCAGAAATGGTAAGATTGAGGTAATAAAGGAGGGAAAAAGAAACAAGCTGTAATACAACCATTCCCCCAACATTACTTATAGCTCTGATACTTGAAAACTAGTCCAACAGGTAAAGCTGGTGTTTCAGACACCTTTACCATCTGGTGTTACTCCTACAGAGTATTCAATTACTGCTTGGAATATTTTACGACGACTTTCATCAACGCCGACATGGAAATTCAAAGCTCTAATACAAACCGCCAAACCCTATGTCTTTTTAAGATAATAATGCTAAAACTAACAAGCATGGAGCACTGGGACATTCACTTTGAGGGCCAAGATTTTGACAGTAAAGTCAAATAACTTATGCTAACTTTTCCTGTACCAAATATAATAGAGAATATCGGAAAATATGTCAAGATATCAGAGTTGGGGAAAAATGAAAAATGAATAGCCAACATATTTTGCTGAGGAAGGCTGAAGATGAGGTTTTCCTCTTTTTTTCTCTTGACTGAATCGCATAATAAATAATAATAAATTATTTGCTCTTAAATGGGCAAAGTTACAAAAATGACTGGAAAAATCACTGTGACGACTATTATCATTAAGATGCCATGACCATCTGTAGGTCACATCAGTGCAAGTGTTACTTTGAACGGGACTTTTATCCCGTTGTCCTCCGATTGAGCCCCTAAAAAGTACGATGCTGTTGTGGAATGAACTTTCACAGCCAAATCCGATCACATTGCACAGTTTAACCAGAGTGCAGTGGATACGATCAGCTATTTTTGTTATACGAGACGTATCGATTTCATATTTGTGAGGCGGTTATAATTCATGATTGTGCATCTCTTTGAGTTCATCAGAAAGGGTGAACCCACAAATAACAGAAACCATCTGATATCTGAGACAACTCTGCGTTCTAAGTAAAGCTTTTTAGTAGTATCTGTGGTTTTATCACAGACACTGGAAGGATTTTTTCCTTCACACGACAAAACATCACAGATGTCTGGGAAATAAAGAGAGCGCATTTCCACTTGTGAGCCAGTTTTAAAGCTTTTTTTCTTCCCCTATCAGTGTTTGTTTGCTGCCTGTCAAACAACCGCAACTGGCTTTTCCTCACACGCCTGCCCCCGACATTCCCACTCAAAAACAGAGAGAACTGAGCCCTCCTCTATCAAAGACGAACTACAGAAAGCATGTGCTGTTCACCACCAGAGGCCTTTTCCCTCCCACACACACACACGGGCTGATTATTCCGAGCTCTGTGATGCTTTGAGAGACAGTCATTGGTCCCCACGACGCGGTATCTGCTCCGCCACTTCCTCTGTTGGCTCCCCACTCCCACTCCATCTGACAGCTGCAGGTGCGGACCCGTCCTCCCACGTCTCCCTCCCCTCGCGAAAAAAGGAAAAGCCCAAGCCAAAACAGGCCTGATATACGGATGCCAGCTGTTAAAGAGGCACTTGATCTATCTTAAATGTATCGGCTCGTTCCTGCCTTCGGTTTTTCTGCGTCGTTTGGAGCTGAACTTGACCGCGTGCGTGCTTCTTCTGATTTGTTTTTAAAGAATTCCTTTGAGCCCATAACTCAATTTCCTAAAGATAACAGAGACTCATGCTCAGTGCTCTTCAGCTTCTTTGGGGGAGAAAAAAAAAAAGTAAAAGGATTGTTGTGTTTTTACTAATTATGGTTGCTTAACTGGTGTTAGAAACATTACATGAATTACCTAAAAAGGTCATCTCAACTTCAGCCTTGTGAGAAAATGATCAAAACGACACCATTTTTTAAACACAATGTATCCTTTTTAAATGCTGGACGTTGAAAAATTCATCTTCCTTCCATCCTGCTCAATGTGTGCACACTTTCCAGTGGCAACAAACCATCTAAACACGGGCGGTTCACCCTATAAAAGACCAGCATTTTCTGGACGGGGCAGAGTTTTTTTTAAAAGCAACACTTCTTCCAGTGCGGGTCAAAGACGTCCAGTGTGCTCCGCCGGGCCGCGCGGACACAGCCGGTTTGTGTGTCCAGCCTCACCGTCCGGAAAGAGCCGCCAACACAACCAGATTAAACACCTCCTTTGGGCCAAAAAGTCTTCCTGCTGTTTCTGCTGCTGCTGCTGAGGTTTGGGAGGAAAGGCATGCAACAAATTGAAAGTGCTTTCACTGGCCCCTGTGGGGTGACTTTATACTGGATTCAGAACAATCTAAAGGATGAAGAAGGACTTTTCCTGAACCCACCGTCCTGTAGACACAACATCCGCACAGCTGCTTTAACCAAGTAAAGTAAAGCTGTCACAGAATGAAAAGGAAAACAAAAAACAAAGACATGGGCAGACCGTGCACAAGAGGAAGTGAAAAGCAGCCAAACTTGAGCTGGTTCCTATTCTAAAACGTCTACACCCGTCATCCACTGGTTTCTTAAGAAGTAGCAAGTACTGTCTGACTTTGTTTAACAGCTGAACTCTGGACCTGTGGCTTTTTTTTTTTTACAGATATCCGTCATAAATCATGTCTGGAGCAGTCTATGAGGTGATTGGTGGTAGGCCACCACACCCCAGACACAAACCCTAACTGCAGAGGTATGAGACATACCGTGATGTAGAGCACAGGCCATGTTTGATCCAACGTTTGAGAGGGAAAAAGTAACTTATTGACACTATTTGAAGGGATAGAACCTGAAAGAAGTGACTGGTCAGTCCAGAGTACCTCCTCCTGCCCACAGGTGCCCCCGTGTCCCCTCTGTCACACTCACCTTGTAGACTTTCCCAAACGCGCCGTCGCCAAGCTCTCCAACTATTTCCCAAATGTCGTTGGGGTTGACGTCCCTGTGGACGTGCTCATACTGCTTGACTTTCTTCTTTATCTCAATCGTCGGCAAACGGAGGATTTTACTAAATCGTGCCAGAGCCATTATTTACAACGAGGCGAACACAAAACAAAACAAAAAAATAATAATAATAATGAGAAAACGGGTAAAAGGGAACAAACAAAACGATCCGATCTCTACGCCGAGAACATTACGCACGAGGAGACGCGCTACCCGTCTGAGACTCTAGTCTTTACTTCCCTCTCCTTTGAGCCAAGAAATATGACCAAATTTGAAAGAAAATTAAAAAAAAGACGTTATTCTACTCCGTCCATCTCAGCTCCGGGGGTTTTGTAGGCTGCGGGGTATGAAAACATGTCCCGGTCCGGTCACTCAGGGGTGTGGTCAAAAGCGCAGGACGCACGGGGTCACCTGCCGCCGCGCACACGCGATGGAGCTTCTCAACCCTCTCGAGTCCGGGCCACTTGTTGATTCAAAACGAGCGTCCAGCAGGCCCCACCTTGTTACTTAACAGTCACCTCGGTGCCGTCATGGAAATGTAGTTCCTTGAGTTGCGCTCGTCGCGCCCTGAGGGTGGCGTCGGGACTCCATGTCCGGGTTTGGCTCTGGGCGGGGTCCCCCTCTGACGGGGGAGGCACCTCCCGCGACGTGAACAGCTGCTCCATCAAACTGGACTTCCCTGGGAGACCTGTGGCTTCTTTTACAGCTTGTATCTTTTTTTTTTTTTTACAGCATGAGACCAGTTTCAGGGTTCTTCCAGACCACGCAATTTCGTCGCTCAATGCCATCCTCTCGTCATTTTTATCAAAATGTGACTAAAATGGATAGTTAAGTCTGGTGAATGTCTTCAAACAGCTACCGTGTGTGATGTTTCTCCTCATTATGGGAGTCTGAAGAGGCTTCACCTGCTCAGACGGAACTACGGGGCCCTCTGCTGGAGGACGCGTCTCGGCGAACCAGAACCTGCAGTCCGTTTGGAAACAGAAGAAAAGGCAGCAGGAGGCAGGAAATCCTTATAGGCAGTCACCCATCCAGATGTTTAAGTGCATTAAGTCATTTCTTAATAAATATTCAAAATAGGAATGTCAGCTGTTGGGTACACTCTGCCCCAAATCTACAGTGGTAGATACTGTAATGGTATGATTTACTGCATAATGGTCTACACTCATTAGATAGATAGATAGATAGATAGATAGATAGATAGATAGATAGATAG